AGACGCGAACACACGCTTGCGTGGCTGGGGCAGCACGAGTGGCGTGGAGGCTCGCTTCAGCAGCAGCAAAAGGTCCCATGTCCTGGCGGACCTCCAGGATGTGTGGGGATCCCACTGGTGTTTCTGCCACCCTTTTTACTGTTCTCGGTCGCGGCAAGTGCCCGGGGTGCAGGGCGCACACACTGCACGGGCGCGTGCGATCCCTCGGAGCTGTTGCAGCGTGGTGGAGTGCCGTGACTGCGTGGGGTCAGATGCAGAAGGGGCGTGAGCTGGGAGCTGCCCAGGAACAGGTCAGCCGGCCAAAGTGTCGCGAGGTTGCGAAACCGATGCGAGGTCCAAGTACAAACACGTGTTCAAATACAACAATACCGCGTATTTCTTAATTCGCTTCTGAAGGAGGAGCAGGGGATGTTTTCAGCTGAGTTTCCAGAGGCCCTGGTCTGCTGGCAGGTTGTGTGATCAACCTCTTCAGAAGCAACTTAAAATACACCTTCGTCCTTGCAGACGTGCTCAAGCAAGCAATGCTGAAATTAGCTCCTTTGTTGGAGGAGAGAGTTTGTTCAGGTAACGCCGGTCAACTTAAAGCAGGTTGAGCTTTTTATAGGAAAGGAAGGAGAAGCGTGGTTTCCTCTGGACATTACTCCGTGAGTCACACATCGTATGACACAGCATTCCTCTCTGGAAACCTAATTGTGGGAGCTGATGAGTACATCAGTACTCCAGAACCACCCTTTGATACACCTCAGCACTTAACCTGGCATTTCTGGAAGTTATTTTAATAAATACTTGATAGATTTTTAAAGTCAGCCTTTTAATGTTTCTAGTATATATCAGAACCCCATTAAGGTAAATTTAATGACATTTTTTCAGTCTCAAAAGCAGCCGTCCGTTCGTAACAACCTTGCACGTAAGAAGTTGTAATGGCTGCTAATGCTGTAATACAGATGTAGTAATAACAGTTATTATAATATGTATGTAATAATGAAGTTTCGGGTTATTTCTCAATAGGAAAGATGATAGATGGGGGCGGTGTTCTCTATGTGTGTGTAGTTTTTTGGTTTGGTGTTTTGTTTTTTTAGCTACTGGCCTGTTCCAAATCCTGTGGTAACATCAAACAGGAATATAGGCACTTGCTGGCTGAAAACCCTCGGAAGACCGGGCGGAGTGGTGATGGCCACAACAGGTTTGGTTTAGCAACCAGCATTTTTTCATTAAAGATGCAAAGTGCTTCATTTCTGGATGACAAAGAAGATGTGCTGAAAGGTCTCTGCCAGAGTTGTTCAGAACTTAGCCGTGTCCTGGATTTTGTGTTGTTTTTACAAGGACATTTAGCTCAAGAGAAGTGGTTAAAAAAAAAACCCCAGCTTGGAGCTGAAAGAAATAAAAAGCTTGGTGTAAATAATGACAATCTCTGGAGAGATGGGCGTTACGGATTGCACAGCGAGTTTGTATGAACTAGGTCACTTGTTTGGGGGGTGAAAGTGCTGAAAGAGTAAAAGCAGCGGGTTTGGAGTGGCTTGGGTGGTTCAGCGTTCTCTGGTGCTAAATCCTGAGAGAGGGCTTGATGCTTGCAGCAAGGAGCGAGTCAGTGCAACAGCCAGTGCTGCCTTTCAGGTGAGCAGGAGTCACAGCGTGGTTCAGACCACACAGCTTCGCTCGGAAGAGAATGGGCTATATATTGCGAATAATTAAAAAACCCCTTGTCCTCGAGCTGTGTTTTAAAGTGCCTTGAAGCAGACGGAGGTCAGAGTAGCTTTTCAATGCTCCTGCAGCGCACTTTATCTGATACATTGGTGACCAGAGTCAGGTTACTTGAAGGAAAAAAAGACCAAAAAAAAAATGCTTGAAAGGTTTTTGGGGTACATGTGGTGGACATATGGATTTATATGCTCATGTGAAGCAGTGTGAACATGTCCTCTCTGGTAGGTGCTGAACCTAGAAATCGGTATCAGTCTTTGAACTCGTCCCCGCTCTTGTGCTGGTAGCGGTCCTTGGTAGCCCAGCGAGCCACGTGCCTCCCTGGTGGGTCCCGCAGACAGGAAAGCGTGCGGTTCTTCCCTTAAAGCCTTGCATTGGATGGAGAGCTGCTTACGAACTTAAGGAGAGAGAAACGCATCGCTTTAGAAGTTGTCACCTATTTTATGGCACGTCCAGAGGAGGGAGAAGGTAGAGCTGCTCTGTGTGTATCAGTTGTTTTTAAACTTTATTTTTACTCATTTCTTATCATCTCTGACTTATCTTCCTTCCTCTTTTTACACCAAACCATTTTTACATCTTTATGCTTTTTGTTTCTCGGCCGTGCGGCTCGGTTGGAGGTAGCGTCGTTGCTATTTTTCTTCATTTGGGTTGCGGTGCTTGAGCCTCGGGGATGAGTTGGCTTGGTGGTGTGAATGAACAGGGTTTTTTTACTTGCGCTAGACTTTATTTCCCACCTTCAGTGCTGGATTTCAGCTGCTAGTACATAGTTTCTTTACTGATGGGCAGGGCAGAAGGTGACTCAACATAATCTGCTTGCTCTGACTTTTTTTGATGTGGATTTAAGCTGTCAAGGCAAGGAAGACCTTTCCCCAGCACAGCTTTTGGAAGGATGCTCTCTTGCCAGTGCATGTGGTGCTTGAATTACCGAGAAACATCAGCGCTGAAGCTCGGCAGTAGCTATTGCTCTGCAGTGCCATCAGTCGACCTCAGATTGAGTGTTGTGTCCTGATCAGGAAAGAAGCAAACAGGTCAACGCTCGGTGGCTCTCTCTCTTCTCCAGGCATTTCTGAGGCGATCGTCATCCTCTTACTGAAGCACGATGTGGGAATTAGAGCAACAGCCACTTAACTGAGAGCAGCGCTCCCAGATATTCAGTCCTATAGAAAGAAAATGATGTAATCGGTTCAGGCTGTCCTCCCTTTTAGCCCTTAGGCTAAATATGTCCTGGCTGAAGTGTGTAGGAGGGGAAAAAAAAAACAAACCCAACCCCCTTTGCAAGTACTTTGGGCAAGTTCAGTAAGTATCTTTCTTTTCATTTGTTAAGGGCTTTACAGGGTATTCAGTTGTATCTGCCTGGACACATGCAATATTCAAATTATACTAATTAAACATGTTGAAAAGGTGTTCCCGAAGCTCACTTTTAATTACCTGTAATACTCGTCAAACTGTTGTCTCTTCTCCCTTCTGGCCACACCTCACTCGTGGGAGAACAGGGCTGCTTTCGTACAGTCGTCGATCACTGAGGGGGAAAACGGCCAAGATAAGATCTGCTGGAGAAATAAAAGAACGCTTTTTCTCAAATATGAACACATTTATTGTCAGAAGTGAGTTATTGACTTTGCCTCTGTCATCACCAGGTAACCTCTGCTGTCCCATGAGGTGTCTATTGGCCGAAAGTAGACCCGAGTGTCGTCTACATAACGAGGAATCCACGGCCTGTAGCGTGTCTTCTAATTAGTCCTTTGATTCCTCATACGTATGCTCAGCGGGAGGAATTTACAGAATTGGTATCGATTGAATTACATCTACGAAATCTTTAGGTAATGAGTAATTACCAGTTCTCCTCCAGCATTCCTCCTCGAAAGCAGGGCAAGCTTGGGCAGATGTGGCTGTTGAGTGTTATGGAGCTCAGTTACTAAAAGACTGCTGGAAAAAAGGCATGGGAGCGCGCTAGTGGCTAATCCACACTTCTCATCTCTCCTCAGATGTAAAATAAAATAGACTGACTTGGCCTTGACTCTGCGGCCTGCTGGAGATACAGCCTAACTGTTCAAATCCTTCCTGAGAGCCGTGAAAAAGGAAATCTTCTGGTCGGTCCGCTTGAGCCGGGGTCTGCCAGCTCCCATGTTAATGGTGATCGGCAGGGAAAGAAGAATGAGCCTGTGGGATTTTTAATTCTTAAATTAGGGAAAAAGCTATTTGAGAAAGGGGCAAGTTGGACCATTTAAGCCAAGTGCTTTTCTTGTTGATCTTTAAGACAAAAGACTTCTTAAAATTAATTACGGGCAGGGGAATTGGCGGGGCGCACTGACACGAGATGCTCGCTGGGTTCTGCTCGGGTTGGTGCTTGCAGACGTACAGCTTGACGTTCAGAGTCCTTCACCAGAGCCTTCTCCCCACCCCTCTCCTCACCAGGGTTTGAAGGGCAGTGACAAACCCGTGGACTTTTTTGGCTTCTGGACTTTGTGGGGGAGCTGGTCCTGAACACATCGCATTTGGTGCGTGGCTGTCTACAGGTGTTAGGAACAAGGATGGGTGGGTCATGCCCAGGGGCAGGGATCTATTAAAAAAAACCAAACAACCTACTCAGAAATACTTACTTTCCCCATGACAAGATTAGAACGGAGGGATTTCTGTGTGTGGCTTCTGAAGATGACGTTTTCCACCTTGTCCTTCTTTGACGGGGCTGGGCAGATTCTTTGCTATCACTGGCAGCAGGCTCCCTCTCCTGGGATGGAGTTCAGAAAGCCCGGCGCTGCGGTTTGTTAATGCTGGCGTCTGCCTTCGCCCCCCGTTGCTGCACCCCTGGAGTGGAAGCAGGCCACTTCACGCGCCTCTGACTTCGCTCTGGATGGCATCTCTTTCGCTTCCAGCGGCCAGTGGACGGCGTGGAGTCCGTGCTCTCGTGTAGGCTGCTGGAAAACACTCTGCGTCCCGTCAGCCTCCCCAGCGCGTGGCTTCAGTCCGCTTTGTGTCGTGGTTTTGTGCCCGGAGCCGTGGCCCTCCCCGCGGTCCCGTGGGGAGCAGCCAGCAGACGTCCTCCGCTCCCTCTCCTGCTCGCCGGGGACGCTCACGCTTTCCTTCCCCGCTTGTCTCCACCGCCCGCTGTGCTTCTGTGCCTCCTCCCTTCGGCGTGCGTCCGGTCCGTGCTGTCGCTTGGGATGAAGGCTGGGTGCGTCCCCGGGGACGGGGATGCTGCCGGTGGCAGCAGTGGGATGTAGCCAAAAACTCACTGAAAGGTTGAGGGTTTTGTTTCGCTTTCTTTTTAATGTGGTAAAATGTGATTTTTGTTGTTGTTGGGGGGGGCGCTTTTTGTTTGTTTGGGGGTTTTTGGTTTGTTTGGTTTTTTTTTCTTTTAGGGTAGGACTGAACATCGGGTATTTATATATATTGGAAAAGTGAGTCCTTCCTCCCAGCCCTGACTCTTTCAGCTTCACAGCATCATCCCGAGTCTTTCAAAAGTAATACTAATGCAGGGCTTTGCTTCGGGTTACTCACACACATTAGGAATCAATAGGCCTGAGTTTATACGATAATTTTATGCCCCCCCCCGCCTTTCAGCTGTTATGTTGCCGGTAAAGCCCGGCGCTGCCGCGAGGCGTTACACCAGCCGCCGGCGGGGGGGGCATCCCCCCTGGCGGGCCTGGCC